GGGGGAAAAGAGAGGTTGTGCCAAAAAGAAGCCTCACCAAAAAACACTGCCTGCCTTTCGAGAGCGGCCTGAGGTGGAGAGACGGGGTTTTTTTTAAAGCAGCGGAGCCCGGCTCTTGCAGGGAGACTCCTCTCAGCCCGTGAGAGAGCCCGACAGACGCCCGGGCAAGGGCGTGCGGCGGGTGGGAGGAAGAGGAGGAGGAGGAAGAAGAGAGAGAGAAGAGCAACGGTCCTGGCAACCCCCTCCCGAACAACCCTTCCTTCCTTCCCTCCCTCCCTCCCTCCGAGACCCGAGAGGAGCTCACCGAGGGAAACGGACCGAGGCAACAGAGGAGGAGGAGGAAGAGAGAGAGAAGAGCGACGGTCCTGGCAGCCCCCTCCCGCAGCTCCCCTTCCCCGAACAAGCCCTCCTTCCCTCCCTCAGAGACCCGAGAGAAGCTCACCGAGGGAAACGGACCGAGGCAACGACCCCCCCTCGCGCGGCGCCTCTAGAACCGGCTAATGGTCACCGCAAGCAAGAGCAGCAGCAGCAGCGGGAAGGAGACTGCGCATTTCTCCTCCCCCCTTCGCCCCCGCCTTTTCCCCCATAACCCTCCGTCGGGCCAACTGCGCATGCGCCCAACGAAGGCCCTCCTTCGGACTTGCCTGAGCCGGATTCCGCGGCTGAGGGGCTTTCCTGAGGCCGGCAGAAGTTACAAGGGGCTCTTTAGTCATGTCTAATTCTTCCCCTTTCTTTCGCCGCGCTAGGCATTGGCTACGACGCCTCGGGAGGGAGCGGGAAAGGGCGTCGAAGGCACCTGTTTTTTTTCCCCAGTCATATGACACCGTTACTGGTTTACCCAGCCCGAGCCATACGGCTGGGCCGGCAGAGATACGAAATGGTAGACCGATATGGTTCGCTTATAGAGCGTGGACTTTCGGGAACAGATTCGGAGATCATTTTTTTAAAGTCGCCCCCTCGAGGAATGGGAGACGCGCTCAAGGACATCCTGAGCGGCGCCCAAGGGAGCTCCCGTCGGTAGCTGTGGGGAGGGAAGCAGACGGAGCTTCTTCTGGCTTCCCTCCCTGTACAATGACTTCGCTCTTCTTACCATTTTGGTACATTGGTCTCCCATCTTCCCTCCAATGAGCTCCAAGCTGTTTATATGGCGTTTCGCTGCTCTTGATGTTATCTTCGGAGCACTGAAATAGGTTATTATAGGTAAAAACAAAAGAAAAATAAAAGAACAGATAGAGAAGACCTGAAAGACTGTTACATTTTTTAATGTGAGCTGTCGTGGACAAGTCCACTTCCTCAGACATAAGTCAGGTAGTGTGTGTGAGAGAGAGTTTTCTGAATCTACCTTTCCAAAGTCCGAGTTCCGCATTTTTACCTTGACACTACACTGGTTCTCTAAGAAAACTAATTTGAAAGGATTCAGATTAGCACTTTTAGTGAAAGTAAAAGGAAAAAAATGCCAAAGCAGGACAGCAGTTGAACATTTAAGTAGTACACAACTTTAAAAGTTGACAAGAAAAAGGGATTTTTATATACCTTAGTTCAATCATCAATCCAAATGGAGACTGCAGCCAAGAAAGCAGAAGAAGACTGAGATCTGGAGGGGCACCAATGAAGGAATTAGAAAATATCAAGTGTAAGTGTAAGTGTAAATATCATGTGTCACTGGAGTTCAAGACCAGAATTGCTCACTTGTATTTTCGATCACTGTGTATGGATGTGAAAAGCTGGACGGTAAAGAAAGCTGACAGGAAAAACAAAGATTTGTTTAAAATGTGCTAGAAGGGAGCTTTGTGGATAATCTGGGCTGTCAGAAAGGCGAACATGTAGATCCTAGAGCAAATTAAGCCTGAACAGTCTTTTCAAGGCAAACATTTTGAAACTGAGGCTCTCCTACATTGGGCATATCATGAGAAGGCAGAATTCTCTGGAAAAGACAATAATGCAGAGAAAGATAGAGAGCAGCAAGAAAGACCAAATACAAAATGGATTGATGTGAGCCAGAGGGCAAGAGGGATACTTCACTTGCTGGAGAGGAGAGCTGTCCTTCCCCAGCAACAAAACTAAGGGAGTGGACCCCAAGCCCACACCAGAGCCTACAGCGAGACCTCAGCAAGAAACAGAGAGAGAGGAGCTGATGGAAGACATGCAAAAAGTGATGATGGGGGAGGTTCAGGGGGAAAAAGGCGGGAAGAGAGGAAAAAGAGGGTGGAGTTTGAATCAGGAACAAGGGAGGTAGAGAGGAAAGAAGAACAGTTACCGGAATGGGTGTGGATGCAGGATCCCTGGATGGGATTATGGGAAAGATTAAGAGTGCCCAAGGAGGAGGCAGATTATAGGAAGAGAGCAGAGATTCCTCCAAGACTCTCTTATTAGGGAGAAGCCGAGGTGAGAGAGTGGAGAAGGAGATTGAGAGAGGAGAAAGAAAGAGTTGAGAGAGAAAGGAGAGAAAGATAAGAAAGGAGAGTAAGGGAGATGAAGAGATGGAGTTACTGGAAGTATCCTGGGAGAGCCAAGACCTTGATGGACGGATCCTGTGGGATGATGGCTTGGACGAGGAGACCGTGTTCCTGTTGGAAGGCCCAATGAGGCAGACCGTGAGAGACTGGGTCCCCACTGATCTACTGGGGCCATGAAACAATAGTTATGGAAACCCATTCCTGTTTGAAGATTGGAAACCCCTTCTGGACCCGTTGGCAGGAGGAGAAAAGACTCACGATCATGTTCCAGACACCTGTTTATTGTTAAATGCACTAATAAATCTTTCACCTGTTTTGAAGCAACAAAAATCTACTGGTTTCTTTGAATCGAACGTTGAGCCAAAAGTTGAACCCTCACAATTTACTAAAGGAACCAAAAGCTTGAATTTGGTAGATCTGAGTAAAGTTGTTGAGGACAGGAAATTTTGGAGATGACTCATTCATAGGGTCACCATAAATTGGAGTCAACTTGATCACAAAGAGCCGTGTTTCAACCCCTAGACTAATCTGGCAGCCAAACTTTGTGTAGAGTTTATATTTTGCTTAGTATTATATTGAAGGTGGTTTTCTGAGCATATTTGTCTGCTAAATGTAGTCCATGAGTTATTTTCATAACTAATATACTAAGATTGCATATTATCAGTCTCAACCAAATAATAGCCTATTAGATTAGTTTAGTAGAGTTGGGTTTTGTCACACTTGCTTGTGTGTTGAGGGTGAGGAAGGTGTGTGACCTGTACAATTCCTTAAAGCGATTCGGTTCACCTTGCTTAGGCTGAAGAAACAACTGCGTTCTATGGATTAAAGCAGGGGTCATCAAACCCTGGTCCCTGGCCTGGTGCCGGTCTGTGGGCTTCCTTTAACTGGGCTGCAGACACGGATCTCCACCCCCCCACATGCATGCACAGGAAGAGACATGTTCTGTCAGTTGCTGGAGGGAGGGTGTGTGGGGAGCGCAGGTCAATGTGATAGTGGATGAATTCAGATGTAGGGACTGAGTGGGGGGGTGAAGATTTGGCTAAGGAGGGAGATAGAGATGAAATGTGTGAAGTATACAGGGGAGAGAGCAGGTCTGGATAGGACCTTGTGTTCCTCCCAAACATTTACTTACCTCTCTTGCCAACAACCTATTTTGTTGTTTAGTCATTAAATTGTG